TAAAAAAGTTGTATACATCTGCAACAGTGTAACATCAAAAAAGGCTACTAAAATTTATACATTTACCACCCAAACTGTGTTATTTCCTATGCACCTATGTTATATGCAACTAACTTTAGGAAAAAAATGGTCTCCGACTTTTTTAAAATGTGACAGGTTAGCCCCCAATCTTTTTTTTTTTTTTTTTTTTTTGAGAAAATGACCTCTAACCAATTTAAAAAATAGCAATCTCATCCTTTCCGTCAATTGTCGTCCAAAAAATAACGGCAGCTGACCGCCTACGTGACTATTTTTTCACTAAAATGACTGAAATGTCCAAAAGAAAACACAATATTGAATCTTGTTCCTCTCTCTAAAACCATTCCTTTGAATAAAGAGAAAAAGAAAACCCCATTTTCGTAGCCATTTCCATACTCTATAAACAGACGTACAGACACAAATCCAATTTGGACACTTTCCTTGGGAGGTTTCGTGTTCTTCAATCTTTCCCTCACCTAATGCTTCCTCTTGTATCTTCTGTTGTTGTTGTTCTTTCACCTTCTGAATCATATTCCCAAAAGTTGCTTTCTTTATTTCACCTGTTTAGGGGAAAAGAAGAAGGAAAATTACAGGATGTGGAGAAATCAAATAATTTCACTCAAGAATCGGTTCAAAGAAAAGCTTTGGGGACGATTGGGATGATGAAAATGATGAAGACTTGGATCTTAAAGAGTTAGGCAAAGCACTTTTTGAGGTTGCACCTGTGGCTTCTCATGCCAAGAAATCCCATAGCAACGAGAATTTAAAGACCAATATCAAGCCTTCATCGTCAAGCACAACGTTGTAAGTAGAAGATAGTAAAACACCTGGTATGGTCGGTCATGAAACAAATTTTCATCGTCTCTTTCTCACTCTGAGTTACCTAGCCTTTGAATCTTATGAAAGTTTCAGTCTCAACATCACGGCTTTAATCATTTTGCATTCTTTTATTCTTTCATTCTAGCGAGCTGCGTTTTGTGTCTAGGAGAAAAACAGAGAGAGAAAACAAAAACATTTTGAAGTAGTTTTGCAGAAGTAATTTTTCTGGGCGCATTTAAGTCATTTTTCTGAAAAAGGGGATCACGTGATGGGTCACGTCACATGTTATGTTAAAAATTTAATAGAATTTGACGGAAATGACTAAACTGTCACCTTTTAAAGAGGTTGTGGTTGTTTTGTCAAAAAAGATTAGGAATTAAACTGTCACTTACTAAAGAGGTCGGGGACCATTTGTGCAAATTACCCAGAAAAAAATGTGCCTTCTACATGTGCACTAATCTACCCACAGTGCAACACATCACCAAAATAAGATGGCAACACATGCCCAAAATAGAAAGAGATGTCCAATGAAATCTCAATAATTACATCCTTAGGTAAAAGTCTTATATTAGATAAGTTCTTAATTATAATTCATTCCCGGCTGATTTGTTGCCCTCCTAGAAACACGGACTTTGGGACGAGATTGTGGACGAGCTTCGTTCCCTTGTGTTGCTCTTGACCCTTCACCATTCTTTGCATATCTATGGCAAGTGGTCTTGCTGTGGCCTTGCTCTCTACATGATCTACATTTCATCATCATTCCTGTCCTATTCAGTTTCTTAGTGTTAGTACCAGGGACTTGGTACTCTTTCGGCTCCTTTCGATGATTCTTCTTGGGCTCTACAGCCGGACATGAAGGCTTTCTTGCAAGCATCCAAGCAAATGTAGATTCTTTCAAACTTGGTGTACCTTTCAATCTCCGAGTTGCACTTCAAAATGACACTTGATCCAGGATTTACAGCCCTAATCTCCCCACTATAGTCACGGAGCATGTAGTATTGCTCTCTAACTGACCCTTCAATAATCTTCCTAGCAACCTCTCTAGTTCTATGAAATTTCCACTTTGTGACATCCACTACTGCTTGTTTAAACCCCACTATATTCCACTTAGGACTTGCTCTAAATTGGTTCAAAAAAATTTTACTGAGCCATTTCGCAGTGAGATGTTGAGTTGTGTAACTCAAACTACAAGTGTGTGAGTCGTCGTAAGTCATAACCTTGTATGATAAATCATCACCTGTAGCGGCAGCATACAAAGTCTAAGGCAACCAGTCTTACACTTTGGCCGAATCCTCTTCATATCCTTCTCGACCAATTTCACAGCCCTATAATGTTTAATTGCATACTCCTTGATGGTTAGCTTCAAAGATTCACCAGTAGATAATACCAAATCAACATGAAACTCGGGGTTATGAATGTCTACGTTAGGGTTGTATTCATGTCTTCGTTTCCTCCTTATTTTTGGATGCAACTTATCCTCTTCATCTTCATCGCTAGCCGTGAGTAATTCATCGGTGTCATAATCATCACTATCTAATACCACATTAGCATTTTTGACTCCTCAATGTTGATATCATTTCGAGGCATGTAAGGCTCCTCCTTATCTGACTCTTCATACTCAAGAGTCTTGCAACTCCTCTTCCTTCTCATTTCCACCAACACCTTTAACATCTGGCACATGATCTTTTTCAGCCACAGCATCATTGTTTTGACCCACTCCCTCAGATTCAAACTCACAACCAGCCATATTATCAATATTCACAGCCTCAGTCTCTTCTGGTTGTGTTATTCATTCCACCACTCACAACTCTTAATCAACAAAACCAAGAAAAAGGCACAAACTTCCGGTTGAGAAACTATGAAACTTACGATAAATTGGTGGCTGAGCTCCTTTTTCGCGCCGAACAACCATCTTCTACCCAACAACAGATTTCGCCGTCGCCAATTGAAGCAAAGTCCGGAGACAGAAGAAAAGGATTCGTTCAAACTAAGCACTCACTCAATTTCCCACTCTCCAAAATCCCTTTCTCCCTGAAACCCTAATTCATTCTCAAAATTGATGAAGATGAACCGAATAAATGAAGAGCAAATTTTATTAAGAAAAAAAAAAGAATAAATGAAGAGTAATTCGTGGGTTAAACAAATTTCAGGGCCATTTCATCTTTTCGCCATAAATTTAGATCACGTGGGGCGTCACGTGCCTTCTCTCGTTAATATTTAGACGGATCTTGACAGAAAGATTTTAATTACACCAGTTTAAAAAAATTAAGAATCGTTTTACTAAAATTAAAAGAATATGAATCAAATTATTACATACTAAAAAAATTAAAAACTATATGTATCAATTATTTAAAATTTATACTAATAAAATGAGAATTTTTAAAGTTAAAATGGAGGGACCTCAGGGTGCGTTTGGTTACAATGAGAAAATAGTAATAGGAATGAGAATGAGAATAGTAATGAGAATAGAATGGAAAAAAAAAATTGATTCATTTGTTTGGTTGTAATTTTAAGAATTCTCTAGAATGGAACATGAATATTTTTCACGTTGACAAACTTACCATTATGCTATATATAACACTATATTTTATCTATCAATATAATATATAAAATTATTATTATATAATATATTATATAATTATGATATATAATAAAACAATATTATTAAAATTTTTAATATAATTATAATATTATAATATATAAAATGTAATATAATATAATAAAATTATTATTATTATTATATAATTATGATATATAATATAATAATATTATTAAA